TTTTTCAAGTTTAGATACGGTTTATCTACATAATAAAAGCAATTCCAAGAATTAGGAAACATTAGGCAACAAAGAAGTGTGTGTTTACGCTTTATTATAATAATATTTATTGTTTGTTTTTTTTTTACTTACACAAAGGTCCGACAGATTCAACATTTAGTACCCTCAATAAAAGAATGAAACAATTGACAAGTGAGTTCATTTACTAATTGTTGAAACTTACCAAAGTTAAACACAATCATAATGGAATAATCAAAAATAAATAAGAGAAATAAGTTTGTACGATCATTAAAAATTAAATTCCAATGTGAAAGCGACTATTGTAAATTGTAATGAAGAACAAATTCAAAGTTATCAGGTTACCGACCGCGGGTTCGCAAGTCAAACAAACTTTGAATCATTCTGCGAATCGTTCAGTTTACAAAGGACACCTGCAGGGCTTGTATTTCCGTCAAATCGACGTCGCTGAGAATCGACTTTCGCTTTACGGATTACGTACACAGCTGTTGCTGAGTAATTTGATTTGCTACCAATCTTTTTCTTGGTCACATTCTTTACAAAATAATAATTCAGCTTAGTTCGTTTTAATTTATTGCATTATCTCTTTTTTTTGAATATATTTCAAATATTCCTTTCAGCTATAAATTATTATGTATTTACAACATTTTTCACATATCAATAATAACGCTGATAGATCCTAAAAACTATTGGTTGTATTTAAATTGCCGATAGATGGCATTAAATAATAATTTTTAAACATTTATGTTCTATTTTATAACAAAAGATGGAGCTTATAATAATTTTGTAAAATGATTTTAATAATAAAAAAACAAGAAATTGAGCTGGCGTACTAAACTTGACAACTTTTTAGAGAAAATACATTTTGTTCAGTATCCCTTGTCTGTATATTTTTAAATGTCTGGTATTTTTATAAAACTAAGGCTATTGTTTTATTTGTATTATTTGATATATGACTTGTATATGCGAAATTAATGGCACTTTCATCAATATTTTCAGCAGCCGACGTCTGGGCTTGATGATGGGAACAATGACGCTACCGACGCGTAGGCGGCAATGCCCGAATACGTTTTAAAATATCAACTTTGACATTAATATATTTGGAAAGGTCTGCAGGGCACATATTGAACTTTCTAATTCTAATAAGGTCTTTTTTAAATAGCTTATGATATTTCATAAAAACGTTGAACCTGTAACTTATTGGTCATTTAACCATAAAGTTAACGCTAAATATGAGGTAAAATTTACACCCGAATTTTAAAAAAAAGTCAGTCAATACTCTCTGATTTATAAAGTTTCTCGTGAAACGAATCAGCTAATCCGTCGTATTAATTTAACGTAAACATTTCTCTGAAATACGATTATAATTTGGAAGTATACCTCGTGTACCTTCCCCGTATCGTGTTTCCCAATTCCGAAACCCATACTTCGGAAACAATTTAAATTAGCGAATTTCTGCGAGCGTTGTATCAAAAATTTCCGACGAAACGCCGGCGTTTCTGAACTATGTGAGTCTTTATTTGGAACCGGAATTACAATCGCGGTTCGAGGGATGAACAAACATATAACCCATTACATTTATTATATCGACTTTGCTACGCGTTCATGTTTGTAGGGACAAGATTTCAATTTGGGACGTTAAGAGCGTACACCTGAAATTAAACTTTGATTCCTATGAATTTATATTACACACTACTCTATTTTTATTTGTGCAACTAAACAATGGTAGAGCCCGCTTTAAGGTCTTCGCACGGCTCGCCCGTTGCAATACTACAACCACACAGAAAAAAAGGCGTGGAGTGGTAGCAATTCCGCGTTTCGTCTGATGAGTGTGGTGCCGGAGCTAAATTTTGGTCCCTTTTCCTTTCCACTCTTTTCTTGAGAGGAAAGGATGGGAAGGAAAAGTGGATTTGACGGTGGAGGAGACGCGTAGCAAGGGGAAATGTCCTCTTTATATGCGTATCCTCCTCCGTCAAGGGTAGGCAACACATCTGCAATTGCGAATGTTTATGGGCAGCGTTCGCTTTCCATTTCGGTGGATTCGGGTGGCCGCTTGCGAGTTTGCCATCTTATATTATTAAAAAAAAAAGTGCTGCGAAACAATTGACAATCGCTCAAAAATTGCGCGATAGTTCAGTCCAAGGTGTAAGTACGTTTTTGTCAGAAACTGTTTTAACATAGTCTGATTATATTCTGACAAGTCTTTAGAAAAATTAATTTCTCTTTTCATATTATCTGACTTAATCTTCACAGTTAATTAAAGTAGGAGTAATTTTAACAAGCAAACAGATCTAGATAGCTCGTCGATGACTGATTAGCGACGGCTTATATTGATTATGTTGATCGAGACGTCTCAATCTAAACCTTGGGGCATCGAAACTCAATACATCAGAATTAATTATATTCCACCCACGTATGTATAGACAATATTATAATTGAAGTAAAAGTTAGGAAGTGGGCGAAGATGGCGTAGACGTATGGTGTTTAAATCTACAATTCTACCACTTCTAGTTAGGAAATTAAAGAAACACAAAGTGAAAACAAATTATTTCTTGAAATTAAAAAAAAAAAACTATAAATGAGCTACTAGTCTCTAGTTTCTAGATTTATTATTTAACTAGCTGTTCCCGAGCAGCTTCATCCGCAGGTAATTATAAAAACTTTATTTTATCGTTTACATTTGTCAAATTATCAATAGCAAAAGTCAAAATGACATGACATGAAGAAAATCCATGGCAATCTTGGTTCCTTGATGTTGGCAGCAACTTATGGTCTCTTTCCCACATTAGGATTCTCGTCCAAATTTTTTACCCACTAAATTTAGTAGCGTGAAAATATATAGCCTAAGGCGTGACGTAAGTCTAGGCCTTGTTATTGAAAAAAGAATTATTCAAAAATATGTAATTGCTGACATCTTAGGCAACAAAGAAGTGTGTGTTTACGCTTTATTATAACAGTATAGATTTAAAAATATCAATTCGGTGTGTATAAATAATAATACAAAACATAGTAATAATGATAATCAAAGAAAATTACACCTTATTTCCTAATAATTGTCCTTAACTATCCACTTAGAAGGGTTCCCTAACAACACTTAATTGCTATATGAAGTTAAACTTAAAGTTGTTAAGTTATAAAGCAATCAGAGATTGAATCATTATTACATTAGTTCCGGTCGTAGATCACGTGCCTTTATAATTATTTATTACGAATATAAAAAAAAATATGACAATTGCCTAAAAAAGAAACAATCACTTTTTTCTTAAGACCTCACGCGGTGCTTGTATTAATCAAAATCGATATCTATTTGAAGACAAATTAAATGCTGTAAAAACATCAATCACAAGTTAGTATAGGAATGGACTAAGTTGACACTGAACATTTTAAGTTTTTAGATATTGTAAATTAAACTCTAGTTCATTTATCTTAATGTATAAAATCCTCAAAAGGATTTTTTTTTAGTTGTGAATGTGTAAGTAACACAAATGTTTCTAATCTTACTAATATTATTTAAAGTTTAGATGGATGGATGTTTGTTAGACTTTGTAGTCTAAAGTGCTGAACGGATCTCGATAAAATTCTGGAAGAACACATAAGCTACTTCCTTTTGTTTTTTTTTAATCCCACACGGACGGACTCGCGGGCGACAGCTAGTAATAATATCATATCCAATATTTTAGGAAAATTTAAAATCACTCGCCTCTTAATCTCCTTATAAAAGAGGTGGGTGAAATCTATTTTTGTATTAAGGCAGATTTCATCTTTGATCTATTTTTAACATCCAAGAAAACAGGTGACTAAATATACTTACCTACTTAATCCACAGAGGGTCGTGTAATGCCGGGCAAATTGCATTAGCATATGTATAGAGGTGGGCATTATATCTGTAAGTGGTCATTGAGCGACCGCGAGCGGCTCGCTGATCAATTATACGCTCATTACACATCTGAATGGCGAGCGAGTGGCGACAGACCGATCGATAGCCTAGCCCAGGGGTGGCGAACCTTTATGGATCAAAGCCATTTATTAAAGAAATATTTAATACAGTCTTAGACGTGAAATCGAATAATTAACAACTGATTATTCCATGATGCACGGTGGACATTGCGTTCGCGTTATAATACCCACTTCATACTTTTTGTAGTGTTCGACCATCGACGTGACCAAAACATTATGTTGTGCCATTTATGCCACGCGTGCCATAGTTTGCCACCTCTGGCCTAGCCCGTAACGGCCGTACC